TCTCTTTTAAATATTTTATCGATGATTTCTAAATATTCCAATTATCTGTATACAATCATTTATCATATAATAATATAATAAATGCAAATTAAAGCAACTTATAATAATTAACTAAATCATTTAATTTGAAGTAATTTGTAGTTTATAATAGAATTTTTTTTTTATGTTGAGATATACTAGGTAGATCATAAAAAAAAAAACAATTCCAAATAATGTATAAACTTAGTACTTACTCTAAGATATTTGTTCAAATATAATAATAATATATTTAAAACACGAATTGAAAATAACTGTTTGAATACCTAATATTTTATAAATAAATTAGGCACCTAATCAATACAATATAGGTACTGTCAACTATTATTTATTCTATTAAAATTTCAAAATCATAGAGTTAAATCGAACGTATATTAAATGGAACATTGAATACTGATAAGTAACCTCAAAAACAAATAGGTACCTAACCGAAATAAATGATCACTCAAAACTGTGTATATTCGAACCTATATGTTATTGGATATTATATAGTACCTAATAGGTAGCGTTTAATTGAGTGGTCTTATGTGAAGAAAGTCGTTAATCAAATTGTCCAATACACTTAATAGAATCCTGTTGGAGTCTTTGTACTTAGAATATATGAAAGAAACAAATCGGTTCAAGTTTTTATTCTAAATCTATTCCAACGACCGGCGATTTGCGCAAAGTAAGACGTACGAGGAGTTATTTACCGTTTGAAACGTAAAACGTATACGGGAAACACTGCAGACTCTTTTAAAATGATTTGATGTCTGGAAAGATAAAGGACGGACGACTTGAACGACGGGGAAATAAATCAACTGTAATGGTAAACAAGAGCAGAGTTTGACTAAAGTGGCATTTGAATGGCGTAAAAAAGTCGAGCCGTTATTGAATAGTCGCCGTATAATATTATACTCTCACGACCTTTGAACAGCGATAATTAGTTTCCATCCGAACTGCCTTCCACCTCTAGCACGCGAGTTAATTAATAACTAATACAGTGTAACTACAACACTGGTGACGCGAGTAAATTTCGGATATAGCTTATAATCTGACATCATATTAATATTATTATAATAGTATAATATTGTGGGTATAGATTGTGCAACATTATGAGATGTGTTCCATTTAATATAATATTATATAATAATTTAATATTGTTGGTATAAGGTATAGATGGGCGTTATGAGATGTGTTATATTTAATATAATATTAATGTATAATAATTTATTATTATAGCTTGTTTGTGTGCAACACAGAGCGCCGCCGTCCGAAAGCAATTTAAATCGCACCCGCACCGGAACAGAATATTATTATTATTATTATTATTACCATTTTAGGGTTCCGAGTGCATAACGTCTCGTCCGGGGAAAACGATCAAAACAACATTAGCTGAACCGACAATATTATATTATTATTATATAGCAGTGCCGCGGTGGAGATCTTTTTCGACCGGTCCGAATCAAATCGCATTTCGATTACCCGGACGATGATTTTGCGGACCATTCGCATATTATTATGATGATGACGACGATGATGATAAGAAGTCGTACATGTTTATGTATCATGCGTATTACACACACACACACACACACACACACACACACACACACACACACACACACACACACACACATATATGAGTATATATTTTGTATATATATATAATAATATATAAGATGAATAAGAAAGCCGGCGGGATCAAACGAACGATGGTCGGAGAGGAAGGGGGGGGGGCGGAAACACGTGCTTCGGCCGGAATACCCGGGAAACGGACGTGGACGACGAGTCGCGGCGAAGACACGGACGGCGAGCCATAGGACCCTAACGACTGATGATGTACACGCGGAGGAAGGGTTGCGAGGGTGAAAATAAGCATAAATTATTCGCCTGTACTCCCGACGGACGTAGTGTAAGCGCATCTGAACCACACACGCACGCCACCCCACCCTATCCGCGTCTGCAATATTATTCTCTCTTTTCCCGACACACGGGGTGGCTACACGTATAATATAATAATATAATAATATATATAGCTCGACGATGCTTCGGACCGCTTTCAAAACCCAATACTACGCGGATTACGCCGCGCGTATATTATATAGCACGTGGAATATTATTATGGTCAAGCGAGGTTCGTGAGCGATGGTGTGGGGGGGGCAGGTCAGGTTGTGGTAAGGCGAGTACAACACGGCCATCATTATTGTTATTATCGCTGTTGTTGTGTACGCCCGATGTCGGCGCAGTTGTGTTAACAAAAGAAAGCACTTAGCGCCCGTGGAAATCTGTAACGAACGGAACATATATAATAACAACATATAGGTAGGTACGCGTTTTGTGGAGGTTACATCAGTAGCAGAAGCAGTGGAGGAGTCGTGTGGTATAATCGTCCGACGATTCTCATATATAGGTTTAGGTATATAATAATATAATATAATATTATGAAGTAATACATTATCTTCTCCTCCGAGGGTGGGAGTTGCTAGTGTAATTTTATATCACGCGTGACGGTCGAGAAATAATATTATCATGACTTCTGCCGGGTACACCGATGAAACGTAGTCGATACCAATTTGCAATGTTTTCATCTTTATTGATATATTACATAGTCTCTGATCAGTGCTGGCATGAGTTTTTTTTTTTAGTGATTTTCAATTAAAAAAATAACGTTTGTATCTGTTCGTGCGACGTTCGGTACCTATGAATATAATGTGTTTATAAGGGTTCTCTTAAACTGAAAATATTTATGTATAGGTCCATGGTGATTTTCAAGTATTAAATACTCCATTTATTCAAATTTTGGTTTTTAAATTTTTGAGTATACCAAAAGTCCATATTTTAAAATGTCTAATGGTTTTTTTACTACTCAAAGAGTGTACTGTGACGATAAAACTTCTATTTATCAAATAAGAACCCCCCCCCCCCCCCCTTTTACTGCAAATTATTAATGGATGATTTTTTCTTGAAATTAAAATTTTAATGAATAGTTTTTGCAAAATGATTAAAATGTTTAAACTAAGGATAATATTCCTTAAAAATAAAAACCATAAGTATAGTAATATTACAAGTTGTTGTATTTATTATAATTGGATCATTTTTATAAATTAATTTTATGGATAAATCAATATCAATTACTAACATTTTCACACCATCTAAGCCCCCATATCTACTTAACCCGATTACCATATGTCTATATGTCCTTAGTACATACACAAAGTTATAAAACTTAAATGACCTGAATTTTGATTTAGAATAATATTTTTTTAACAATTTAAATTTAAAAAGAGGGGTGGTCCTATTTGAAAAATGGGAGCTTGTATTATCACAGGATCGTCAAGTGATACAACAAATCTCAAGGATTGGGAATATACGTTAGGTTTTATCTTTTTCTGATACTTGTTTAAAAGTAGGTACCAACACTAATTACTTTTTCATTTATCGTTTTAAATTAAATTATAGTATTTATTCAACCCCCAAAAATAGTAAATTTTCATTTGAAACAACATAGACAATGTGATATACTTTGATTTACATAGGTACATTGTTCCCACTGAAAGTAAAACAACAATAGTGTTCTATATTCAAAATTCGGCGCATATACCTTCTATATACTACCTAAGTTAAGTATTATATATTATAATATATAAATAACCCACTTGAAAACTTTTTTGACCCTTGTTTAAAAAAACTCTCCTGAAATGTCAAAGCTCGTGTTTTATACAATTATTTTAACACTTTATTAGAATACGGGGTTTTCTTTTTCTTTTTTTTTTTTGTATTGCTATTATTTACACCTTTTGCATTACCACAAGGTCCTTTGTAAAGCTAAACCACATCAGCCAAAAATCCACAACCCTCAACTGCACGAGTACATTTTAAAAACGGTTGGGGACTTATTGATTCAATTAAATGCACGTGTTCACAGAAGTTTTATTTAATCATTTAATATAATACTGCTAATTAATAAAATCGTGTACATTCCTAGATAGAAATTGACTTAAGAACATTGCGAAACTGATATGTTTCGTCGCTCATTAGAAAGCATAATATTTTAATAATATTATGTTTTATACGATTATGATTTTTGGTGTCTCAGATTGCTCGAATGCGCTTAAATAGTATTGAAATATTGTCAATAGTGTATACCTACATTTAAATCAGAGAATAAACGTTATCAAGATGAATTTCATGTTAGATACAGAATTTAAAATATATGATAACATCAGTGTGTTATTATCAGGCACATATACGGTATAACTACTACTGCAGCAGTCTATGACGTGTAATGCAAGACAAATCGATAAATATTTAAAAAAAAATTGTCTTCTGTTCGAGCAGTAAACAACATTGAGACCATAAGCTATAATAGACAGTGTTATACACTTTTACTTACCTGCGCACCTACCGGAAGACATGAATGTAGAATATCGTGACGAATTAAGTCGTATAATAGTGCAGCTTAAGTCCAATTGTTAAGCCAAATAGATCTGTTGTTCGACGTATATCGAACGCATCGTGTGTGCACTCTGCAGCAGTGTATCGAACTGTACACAGGTTTCGACGATTTCGTGATTAGTTTCAGCTAGACCGATTACGGAACGACTAATGAACCGTATCGTACAGTTCACGTAAATCAACGATAAATTATCATTATTTTAAAACGTCGTCTAAATAGATAGCAATGATAATAATATTATAGTGACGACCACTGTGTATAATAATATATAATATTATTGATTAATATTGTAAAATTGTATGATATTATTATTATATTGTACGATATTATAATACGCATATACCTATATTATATTATAATACATGTATGTGTATACATGTTAGGTATATAATATTATATAGGTACTTATTAGTGTTTTCTTTTCGTTCCGATCGGACAGGTATAGAACGCGCGTGAGCGACGGACGATTTGAGTGCCTGTAATACTAAGGGCCACGCCACTGTTTGTTTTGTCCTCTCCCCAAAAACTATTGTCCTCGGTCGAAATCGATTGGAAAGTGTTTCATGGTGCACTTTTTTTTCTTTTTTTCTTTTTTTTTTTTGTCACATCGTAAATCCACGCTACCTCCACCACCACCACCACCACCACCACCACCACCACACACCTGTTCTCCACGATGTTTTTTCTCTTCCTTCTCTACTGCCTGCATCATTACCACCACTGTATTATTATTATTATTATTATTATTATTATTGTTGTAACCACCGTCGTCGGTGAACCACTTAACGGGTAAACCGTCGTCCTGAGATGTCGTGTGAGTTTTATGCCCCAAGATATAGAGAGTGGTGTTTCGACCCATAGTCGTCGGTGAAAGGGAAAAAGCTGTTTTTTCGACGTAAAAATAACCTTCCTTTAAGCATTTTAGTCTTCCTTAATGGAAGCAGGTATGTGATTGGGATAGGGAGGGGGGTAGTAATAATAATATCGAGGACATTAAGTGTGTAAGCATCGTTTCATTGATTTGCCCGAAAAATTTGAATTCAAATTAAAAACGATAAAAACCGGCGGACAAATTGGCTCTGGTGCTGGTTAAGAGGGAAATGGAATCGGAATAGGTATTCGACAAGGTTGAAATATATTCCGAATCGTGATTTTCCAGTAGTTTTATGTGTATATTTTTACACCCGTCTCGGTCGGTTCTGTTATAGCATTCGCGAAGCGTGTGAATGTAGAAACAACGTTTTTGTATACGCTATTCGAACGCTACCACTTTACACACACACACACGCAAGCACTACATGTATGTATAAAAATATATTGTGCTCGTGTGTTCATTTGGGTGGGTATATAATATATTTTTTTTTTTTTGTGCTCGGTGAGAGGACCCAGTTATGCGGAGGGGAGCGAGGGGGGACGTGTAGAATCCGAGGCGAAAAAACTACAACTACATTATATGTTGCTGTCAAACAAAACAAAAATACATATAAATAAAATAAAACGTTTCTTTCGAGATTTATGTTTCATATATAAGGTCGTCGTGCAGTACGCACCGAAATCTCGGTAAATTACAGCGTTAAACAAATCCGTGCCGTGAATAAAACGGTCGCTCGCCCCTTACGTTTTCCTCGCGCAAACACAAGTTTACTGTATACCTATGTATACGCAATAATATACCATCGTAGTGTCACCGCCGCCGAAAAAGGATCGGCGGTGAGTGAGAGGGTGTGTGTACTCTTTGTGCAGTATAATAATAATATCCCCCCGCGAATGGGTGCTAGAAAATTTCGTCGACGACGGATTAACGAACGCATCCTGAGAGATCAAACATCATAATATTATACGGTACAATATATATTATTTTAATCTGTGACGCATCACTCGACATCCTTCTTTGGTTGATTTGGTGCCCGTGATATACGATATTAAAAACGGTAGTCACGTGCTACACATTTGCCCCACGGTGGCGGTAGCAAATGTTTTATATTATCATCGTACTTTAAAGTTGTACCTATATAGCCCGACTTTATTCGGTAAAAATTAAACAAAATATATGATATTATATGACGTCGTTATATCTAGGTTTTGGTGTACCCCAGTTGAGCTCCTGGTATGTTTTCGAACGTGGTTCGAACACCTTTCTAACCATTCTTGATATTTCTAAAAACAATCTTTGACACTTTAGACAAAATCGGTCTGTTAATTTTTAAGCCTATAAGCTACAAAATATATAGAAGAAGAATATTATGATTAAACCCTAGTATTTGTTAAATTTCTTTATTTAAGGTCATGTATACACACGACGATTCATTCGATGCATGGTTTTACCTTATCTGCCAGAGTAACCTAACCATTTATATGCAAACTAAAAAGAAATACCTATATGTACTATTACTATTATAATCTGTAGACAAGGGGGCAAAGGCAATCATGTACAAACAAATAATATACAGCAGTTGTAGTTCTCAACCTTTTTTGATTCATGTCACCTTTAGCCACTAGAATCAAACACTGCGTCACCCTAACTAGGTACACGTGTTTATCGGACTAAAAGATTAAATATAAATAATACAAACTATTATAAAGATACGAACTTTGAGGTATGTTATGTACATGATAGTGGTGGTATAGGTGTATAATATATTTATTATAAGAAATAATATATGATTGTTTTCGAAAAAATTAATTTTTTTAATTTTTTTCTTTTCTTGTTAAAATTCTGCGTCACCCCTAAGCTAGGTCCATGTCACCCTAAGGTGACATGTCACCCCGGTTGAGAACTACTGATATACAGTTTACAGTTTGCATCGTTAACCTCAAAATCAATACGTGAACACCTCTTTAAAATGTGAATTTCGGAAAATCCTTTCTTAGTGTACCCCACTACATCCTTACTCGGCGGTACCAAGGTACCATGACCATTTCAAGTGTCTATAGGTACAGCTACCTTATGCTGAACTTTGATCAGTCAGTCAGTCAAGACTTAGTTAAGTTAAAAAACATAGTCGGCTGCCGACTGTTGCTTAGGGGCATGACAATAATACACTGCAGGTATGCAGATAACTGACTGGGTGGAGGTCAAACGGGTGTTGCCTGACTGTGGGGCGACGAAAACTGCCCCCCACCGACTACGTTTCTTAACTTGAACAGAGTATAGGTAGATTATTCGTGTTACAACAGTCCTCAACTGCACATACACGACGATGGCTGTTCGAGTGGTACATCCGTTGCAATAATAGTTACCTCGTACTACGATAAAATAAAAGCATTTCGTCGTCATAGGGAGGTAAAGTATCCAGAGTTCGGACACCACCTACAGGGCGAATCCTATGGAGTACTATAGGCGATTTACCCGTTTCACAGTCACAGCAGGATACTGTACAATAAATAATACATCGTTTGTACCTACCACACCGACGTTCGATTAAAATGTCAAACAGATTTTTCAATTTCAAGTCGGTTTTTGAGTTTCGATAATTTCAACGTGTGTACCAACCGGTGTGCTGCAATATATAACTATTGCCTGTGACAAAGAAAATATTATAATTCGTATCGGAAAACCTCGATGTAATTTATTTTCGATGGCGCGATTAATAGCGCGAGCTGGTCCCACGGTGTATTTCCAACGTTTTTTTTTTCCTTTTGATTTATATTTAGAGTCGTCGGCCACCTGGTGGTGTGGTAGGTTGTGGCGGCAGAGTGGCGCACACAAAAACCCGGGTCAAACGTCATCCTGAAAGTGGCACCTAAGAAAATATTACTCCGTAAAGTGCGGCGAGGAGGACGTTTCCCACCCATTTACCGGTGACGGTGGTAGCGGCAATGGTGCCGGATTACTATATAATTTCCTATATATATATATATATATATATTTATAAATAATAATATTGATCCGTAGGCCACAACCGTAGTCCAGGACCGTTAACTCGGGGCAACCGATTGGCAAAATGCCGAGAGCAAAAATAATCGTAATACTAATAAAAAAAAAAATTATTATTAAAATTTAACATAAGGCGACGACGACACTTTCGGATATTTGGCAGTCAAACATCCTCGACGAACAATATAATGATGTCTTCCTGCTGCAGCAGACGAGCATTATCGTTAAGGAAGAAATTCATCTACCAGGCATGAAAAAAAAATAACATGACGAGGTTTTTTTCATTTTTTTTTAACTTCAAACGGTCGTCGTCGTATTCGACAAAAGTAAAATACACAAACCTACGCGTTTTAAATACACACAAAACGCCTTTGATTTTACGTCTTTACGTCGGATTTTGTTTTTGGTTTTGTTTTTTTTTTTCATTTCACAGCTCGACCGCTCGAGTAATCGATGTTGGTCATGACGAAAACAGCAATTATAATATTATAGATTCCGCATTACGGTGCTATATAAAATAGTATAGTAATATCACTGCAATAATATTATGCCTAAAAACTCCCATGACTCGATCGTTTTTTGTCTGGGTTGATTATGTAGTGCATTTTTAGCGTTCATAAATATTCATTAAAAAACCGCTGAATTTATTACAATGACCCGAACGTATTCAAAGCAACCAGGCTGGGTGGTGGCAGTGGTTTCGTTAGTAAACGTACAAATAAAACTATCGATTATTTTTTTGTTTTTTTTTTTTTAACTGATTTATTATTGCATTTGCAATGTAATATAGGACGTACATGAAAGAATATATTATTATTATTATTATCGTCACAATATTGTAATTTGATATCGGTACATTGGGCAGAAATATAAAAAAAATAGCAACGAATAAACACAATGGACGTTACTCTATAAATAATAATATTTAACAATGCATGCGTAGTGTTCTTATGTTCTAGTTATGTATAATAATATAAATCATGGATAATAATAATTGTCAGCGGCGTTAGGTTTCATTCGCGTAATAACGATGATAATAATAATTGTGCGAGCAAATATCATCATTTGTTTGGTTTTTGAAACTTCGCGGTTCTATTACTCATGAGTATATTATAGATACCTAATAACCTACCTACGTGATATTATAATACACTACTATTGTGTATTATATATGTGTTCCATCAGATTAGGATTTATTATTGTCGTCATTGAAAAGCCATTAGGCACGCTCCACGCTGAACACGCCGAGGCAATAATAATAATATCTTAATACGCCATAATAATTTTATATGTATATATAGCGACGTCGAGGACCATTATTTTTATTGTTATAAGTATTATAATGGTCCCATTTATGGTAGTCGTACGCGCCACTATTCTGCAGACTCCCGCGAGTATCTGGCGAGTTAGTATTCCCGACAAAGGTGCACCTATATTATATTATTATTATTTATTATATTATAATATACGGTAGAACGTAAAAATACAATATAATATATAATATTACAGTTGTGGTGTTTTTAACCCTCTGTTCCTACCTGAAGTCCTGTTTCATGATACCACATCCATTGGAACAACTCGTCTATAAACTTGTCAAAGTGCAACGTTCGACGTAAATTTGTTAGAATTATTAAATTAATAAAATGTTGAAAAATGTTTTACAAATTATTTTTTATTAGTACCTACCCGAACTTTTTGGGTGGCGTTTAAAGTTACAAAGTACCTTTTTTTTAAACATATGCATGGTTTTGTGGTGCACTTAACTTGTTGGCATGTGCATCTCAAAAACCCTCGACCATTACCTAGTGATTGGAATTTTTTCATTTTGGACGTCATCACTGAGAGTAACAAACTTTTCTGCATACAACATGAAAAATTGTCTGATGTTTTCTAAGAAATTCCTACTTTTGGATAACAGCCGAACATAGCTTCCTAATGATTTCGTCCTACCCTTCTATGGAAAACGGTATTTTCTTATATTG